CCTGTGAAAGTGTCTGCCCCCAAACCCTACCCCTCATCCTCTAGGATGTGTGGCTAAAAGCTGAGTCTGTTAGTCATCTCCAAACTCTTGGTGCAGCTGCTGCCCAGATTAAATACCAGTGATGAAAAGAAATGTTTTATCACTGGACACATGTTCCCTTAACAGCAGTCATCCTTGCGGATTCATACGTCTTCTAACAAAACCTTCAAAGTAAACTCAATCAGCCACTCAAACAGGTGCTCAGGCCTGGTTTGGAGGTGGCAGATGATGCTACTGTGTTACCACATTTGAGACTTAATTTTATTGGGAACAGCCATGGTCATTGGTTACACATTGCTTTCATGCTACAATGGCATAGTTGACTCCCCGAAGGAGGGCACAGCTCACAGTGGCCCATGCGAGGATCGAACCGGCAACCTTGGTGTTATGAGCACTGCGCTCTAACCAACTGACATAACCAGTCACCCCCCAAATTCGAGACTTTTAAAGATACATGTTGCGAGGTTTGGCCCAGAGATCACTTTTGTTGCTCCTCTCTTTTCTTGTGTGGCTGTTTCCCCCAACATGCTATCATGAACATTGAAATAAACCATCCTCCACGGTGGGTTCCCAGTGAAAACTGGGAGTTTTATCTTTGTGGTTGGCATACACAGGCGGAGGGGAGCCATCAGTTAGATGTGAGCGTCCACGCGCCCCTAGTCATTGTGGACTGTGGTCTGGAAAGGGATGCTTGGCCTCATTGGCTAAAACCCCTCATTCTAGGGACAAGAAAACTGTGGCCTGGGAAGAAGAGTGCCTCAGGGTGTCACAGTTAGTGGGGAAGCCGGGACAAAATCCCCTTCCTGCTTTGGGGTTCAGGGATCCTTTCTCAGCATTGCCTGCCTGCCTTCTTCGTGTACCCAGATGGCATGTGTGTTTTCCTGAGCTTTCCCTTAGGAACTTTATGTGATGCATTATTAGCTTAAATTTACTTTTATTTATTTTTTTTTAAAGATTTTTATTGGGGAATTGAGGGATGGGAACAATGCTGGGGAATTGGGAAAAGGGGAACAGACAAGTTGCTGTCTTTTTGTTCTTCAGTCTAGTTGTGGAGGACGTTGCTTCACTGCCCAAGTTGGCACCATCATTGTGCTCTTCCCGGGAAAGGCAGATCAGCCATCGCCGGCGACTCACAGCAGCCCAGCTCCAGGTCGAGCTGTTGTTCAGCATCTTAGCTGTAGAGGGCAGTGTCACTGGCCCTCATATTTGGGATCCGAACTGGGGCCTTCTGGCATCCCAAGCCAGCTCTTAACCAACGCACCACTCGGCCGGCCCAAATTTACTCTTAAAGGTTTAAACTTTGGGGCAAAATTTCCATGTTGTGGACTGAGATCAGGTGTCTAATAAGCAGCCACACTGTACAGCTGTGAGAAATCTGCCACCAGTCGAGCTCCTTAAGGGGCCTATAAACTCCTCGTTTGAATAACTGACCTTTGTTCACCTTAGCTGGGGGCTCAGGAAAAAAACACCCCACTGGGGGCTTTGCATCGTGTCATTTTGCCTAGGCTGACCCATGTTTTCCGGAACCCCCTTTCTTGTATGTTTGCGGTGAGGATGGGCCCCAGAGGAGATTCTTGTGGAGATTTGGAGAGGGGTGTGGAGCAGCAGTCATTTTTACAACGCACGCGTTGTCACTTTGCCGGCCCCCTTGTGGGCGTGAGGCAGCACCTTCCTGGGTCCTGCTTCAGCTGCTGTAACCCCTGGGCCTCGCCAGGAGTGTGTGTTTAGCTCTGTGGCGAAGGGCCCAGCTTTTGCAGGACCCCACACCCCCAGTGCCAGAGGTAGCCTGAACTGACATGGTTTTTGTCTGTACTGGTGGCTTCAGCTCGTTGCTGGTGGTTCCAGCGTGTTGCTCTCCTCCGCTTTGTTTCCATCCTTCCCTGGCTCCTGCTGGCCCCGCAGACTTCAAGCTCCAGCATCAGGACGAAGACAGCAGCGTTACAGAGACTGCTTTACCAGCTCCCGCAGTTACGTGCCGTCAGGTGCCTGTAAATACCTATCTTTATATACCACACACATGTGTGCATGTGCACACACACATACCCCTCTAGTGGTTCTTTTCTCTGGTTGAACCATGACTGCCACACACACCTCCGTCCCCCACAAGCCATGTTTTACCCACCATTACTTTCTTAGTGGCTTGGGCAGACTTTCTGGTGGACAGTGCAACTTTGGACACCCAGAATCCTACCCTCTGGAATTCTCCAGCTTACAGAGTCGTTCCATACCCCAAGGAACACCAAGTAAATGAAACACCCCAGCCTCCTTTGGTGATGAAGCATCATTCAACATCCAGCAGCAACAACAAAATAAACCTCAGCACTGGGGGAGACGGGAGGAGGGGCAGCTCAGTCCAACAGGATACAGAGGAAAAACGGTGGAACTAGGCAGGAATAATGGCAGTGGCCACAGCTGAAAGCCAGGACAAGTAGTGGACAGAGATCCTGGATGGAGAAGACGAGAAGCTAGAGCTCCTTTGGAGTTTCAGGAGCAAAAGAACTTGTGAGCAGCTCTTTTGGCATCACTGCCTCAGGAAGGACAGCGGTGCTTCCGCTGGACACTTGGAGGCGCCCGTTCACACCACCCACACTCACAAGGCAGGGTCAGAGTTTAGAAGTTAGACCCCATGTCCTGGCTACCCTGGGAACAATCACTGATCCAAAGTGTATTCAGAGGGTAAAACATCATTAAAGATGATTTTTTTTTTAACTTTATTGAGAAACTGAGTTTTTCCCAGGACCCATCAGCTCCAAGTCAAGCCACTATCCCTCAGTCTTAGTTGTGGAGGGCGCAAGCTCAGCTCCAAGTCCAGTTGCCGTTTTCAATCTAGTTGTGGGGGGGTGGGGGGGGGGGGGGCGCAGCCCACTATCCCATGCGGGAGTCGAACCAGCAACCTTGTTGTTAAGAGCACGCACTCTAACCAACTGAGCTATCTGGCCGCCTACTGACAGTTCAGCTCGGGCACAGCTCACTGGCCCATGAGGGAATCGAACCGGCAGCCATGTTGCTCGGAGCTCGTGCTCCAACCAACTGAGCCACCTGGCTACTCTCAAGATGCTCTTTGAACGTGTGTTAATGATTTAGAACCTAGACAGCCTACATATGACTTCTCGTCTCATTATTCAGGTTAGAGTTCAAGGTTCCAGCTGCTTAGAGTTCTGTTAGAAACTAAATACAAAGGAGGGATTGGAGGAAATCCTCTGAAGAAGTATCCTCATGGGCTCCATTGATCTTTATTTTGGAATTAGCCCTCAGGCCTTGGAATGTTGAGGAAAGCACCGCTAGTGAGGAGGGAATGAAAGCAAGCCTTCTGGAAAGCACCTCTGGCATGTGGTGATAAGATGCTGTCAAGTCAAGGTCTTTATCAGGAAGGTGATAATCTAGAAAATGGGGAAAGTATTTGTAAGACGACTGAGTCCACCTCATGCTTATTGGTTGGTTTTGCAATTAGACTGGTGTCTTTGCCCAAAGGTCACCTTTTTTTACTAACAGGTGAGAGACCTAAAAGCAAGCTATCATCATGGGTATATCTTTGTGACACATCACAGACCTTAATGTTCCTGAGTGTGGCCCTCAGGCATCAAAAGCTCCCTGTCCTCAGTGTGGTCCATTGAAGAAGGCAGGGAGGTCTGTAAATACACTTGATTTTTTTAAGTTAGCTCTTTAAGAGTTTCCTTAGCTCTGATTTCTGTCATCCTTCACGTCTGCTTCCATTGGACCTGGAACAGAGATCATTCTTTTCACCTTACTTGGTAACTGTTTTCCCTTGGACTCTCCGATTCCCACGACAATAGTTCCTGCACTTAGTTCAGAAGAAAACTCAATGCCTCAGTGAATGAATCTTGAAATATTCGGTTATCCACGACGTCAGACTCTCAGGGTCTAATAGCCTGGGTGGGTTTTACTCCACACTCTAAAAATGAAATCGAATTTGGGTGAACTAACTGGAAAGAAAAATGTTTACAGTGGGTTTACATTAATTAGTTGGTGAGTGAGAGTTCTCAGCCCGATTTGCTGCCCAAGAGAGAGTCCCTAAAGATGATGCCACAGGGCTTAGTCATCACTAATCCTGAGCGTCCTGATGGCATCTTGGTGCCTCCCGCTGCATCGTGTGATTTTTATCCATCCTACTCTGTTTTTGTATAAAACATGACTCTTAAGTGCACCATTTCTTTATGGATACAAATCTGAATCTCGTGCCCTCAGAGCTTTTCTTTAGATTGAAAGTAGAAATTAGCGCTACCTAGCCAAAAAACAAAGGGAAAAAGAACACAAAACTACCACGTAAGATTATATTGACGTAGTTTTTTCTTAAATTCTACTTTTATGTACAACGAAACCAAACATCCTAGCTACACCAGGATCATGAAAAGAAAAAGAGTTTTGGACAGGGGGGGATTAAAAAAAACCCTTTCTAAGGAAGGATAACTATTTTTATAGCTGCCCTCAAGCAAAAATGCAGATGAGGGTGAAGGGACCCTAAATTAGCAATTAGATACATCTTGAGGATTGTAGGACAACAGGATTTACATTGCATAAGCTGAATGAACATGATTGCGGCTATCTGTGTTTCTGACCAATGCTCTTGCAGCTGTGAAAGTGTGACCCGTGCTGCCATGCCTCACTGAGTCGCCTTCTTCTGTGTCCTTGTCCCTGCAGCGCGAATCTGTCCAAGGCCGCCTGGGGAGCGTTGGAGAAAAACGGAACCCAGCTGATGATCCGCTCCTATGAGCTCGGGGTCCTTTTCCTCCCTTCAGCATTTGTAAGTTCGCACTTGGAACTGTCTGACTGGTCACATGAAAAATGAATTGGGTTTTTGTGCTCTCTTCCTTTAGTCAGGATGACCTGCCCGAGGGCAGGAGGTAGCCTGGCCAGGTGGTACCCCCCAGGACCCATGCGGCCTGCGCTGATGAACCGCTGCTCTCGAATGTACCTGGTTAGGGATCGAAGATATTGCTTTGGATAAAGTTGATAACAATATTTAAATATTGTGAAACATACATGAACATTGATTACAAGGTGGTAAGTGATGAGTCACCAAAGGAATGCCTCAGCCAAGTGCAGACGTTTTAGGTTGGGGTGATGGATTGGAGGATGCCTTTGGGAACAGGAGGTGGGGGTGGGGTGGGGGTTGAAGGATGCTTACAATCTAGGGCAAGTGGAGAGGGATGGGCGTCCATGTGGGGGGAATGGCATGAGCACACGTGGGGAGGCAGGGAAGCTCACGGCATCAGCTGGTAGACCTGTGTGTGGCCTTCACGGAATTGACATTTATGATTTTGACTGTGAGGGCAACCCACAGATCTGTGCCATGAGGCAACGTGTTCATTTTCCTGAGGTTATACAAGACAGAATGAGCCGCTTAGCCTGTGAAAGACGCTGGTTAGCAGAACAGCTCAGTGGTTCCCGCCTCAGGGTATATCTCAGGCCCGTAACTGAGCACTCTGTCTGCTGGGATGACCTCACAGACCCTCAGTTCAGCTCTGCGAGCACCCGTGCCTCCTGTTTGATAGGTCCTGGGAATAGAAGGAGGAATGAGAATGGTGTCTGTTCTTATGGAGCTCATGGATAAGTTAAGGAAACAGTTACTATCGTACGCGATGAGAACTGTGGAATGGGGCGTTCAAAATATAAGGACTCTGAGAAGAGGAACCGTGCAGTCTTCCTGGGGGACTTGAGGAAGGCTTCTTTAAGGAGGTGACATTTGACCTGGGTCTTGAAAAATGAGTATGAGCTTAACCCGTCATCCAGGGGAGATGAGGCTTCCAGCTAGAGAGACTAGTGCATGTTATATTCGAGAAACAGCAAAGCTGGTCAGGAGCTGGGGCGTGGGCCCTGAGGCTGGAACCATCTTCTGAAGGAGATTGACAGGCGGGACACACTGGGGTTGGACTTTGGCCCACGCAGATAGTAGAAAGCCATCCATTTTTTAAGCAGAGGTCTCATTGGTTTCATTTTTAGAGAATCTTATAAAACATCTCTCCAATTATAATTATAATTTAATCTATATTCTTCAAAGGGTACTTGAGGATACGGGCATCTTAAACCTACATACTATTACACAATTCTGGTTATTGGTGAATCATTGTTACCATTCACCCCACTGTCCCAGCTCAAAGTGTAGGAAGTCACCCTGACTCCTTCTCTTTACCCTGCCTCTGCTTAATCACCAAGTTTTGTCACTCCTAGCTCTTTAATGCTGTTTGATAACTTGTCACTTCCGGCCATCCCTGCTGCCACTGTGTCCAGGGCATGTCGAGTCCTGCTGCTCTAGCCTCTCACCCCACTTCCTTTGTCCCCCTCCAAGCTGCTCTCCACCCTGCTGCCAGAATGTCTTGGTAGACCATAGATCTTGGTATCCCGTGGCCCAGGCAAGCTGACCCAAAATTAACCATCACACCACCTTTCTAACCAGCCTTTGTTAGGAGTGACACCCCTAAACCCCAGCCCCACTTGCCTTCACTTCAGGCGCCCCTCCTTTGCATCCCACAGCTTTCTAGAACCTGGGGCTCATCACATATCCCCTGATTTGTGATCCTGACTTTGTGGCTCTTTGACTAGACTCAGCTGTGTTCTCATGGGGCTTGCACATGGGAGGCTCTAGTAACTGTTATTAACAGTTGATGTT